GCAAGGTACTGAAGATTGCGGTTCAAGTTTACTAAGAACTATGATGCTCGCCCTGACATAATCCTTATAATTGTATCTTACTACTAAACGCAAGGCAGAATTTGGTTTGTGTTTGGATCAATATGTATCATAGCGAATATCAGGTTCACTTTTTACAGTTCTGCTTTCCATTTTCCCTATGGAGCTCGTTTTGGCCCATATCCATTCATGAAATAAATATGTAGAAACTAACAAAATAAAGGTCTCGAGTTATACTACACCTCATTGAAGAATGCATTGAGCATAGAGACTTCATTTGTAATATTAACGACGGTTCACATGAACGAACGTGCCTAGCTCTTCATAGAAGTCCTCGTACAGCCGCACTTGAGAAGATTCAACATGAACGAGCTCGCATGTAGCTTGGTATTCTCGAGCACGCTCAAGAACAGTCTCGCAGAGCTTACAGGCCGCGCGAACCTGTGAGGAAACCACCGGCGTTTTCTAACCCTCCTCCACATGGTGCTCAATGCAATCAATCACGAGCTCAACTACAACAACCTAAGTAACCCCTTAACAACACATTACCTGCACGATCTCACAACCTTGGCAAAGAAAACCAAGAGCCACCCCAAGAGAGTTCGTTTTATAGCTCACCTTCCACGACCTCTCTTCATCTTAAGTAGAAACTTCTTACTGTTTAGAGACAGGTGTATACGGAAATGCTGGTGAGGAACTCTACAGATATGTGAAGCACTATTTTGATAATGATCTATTGAGGGCCCCTTGAAGATTTATCCACAATAACAGGAATACAGGCTTCGAGAGTGAATAGCTAAATCATTAAACTTAACGGCCTACTTCTTATATGTTATGCGCTGACACAATCAAAAGGGGTGGATGTACCGATATTTGTCGAGTATAGAGATACTCAAGAGTCCAACATTCCCGCTCAAGAGCTTTCAATGACCGTTACCAGGAAGTTAAGCTCCTACACAAATCGGCCTTTGTCCCTGGATTTCTAGGCTATTCTGATATTATTACATTAGCCGACTTCACGTACATCTATTTGCGGATTGGAAGGCCAAGCAACCCTGTATCACTGATGTAGTCACAAAGTTTATCTTGACATTGGCTAACCGTAAATTTCCGTCTGCCTTGACTTTTGAGATGGCGCGAGATACCACCATTTTGATATAAGATCACTTCTATTGTTTATTACTGATAAATCTCGGAGTTTCCATTGAGTATGGGGGCGTATAGTCCATATTTTGTGTCAACCAAAGGAAGCCTATGTAAGTTTATTAACGAATGCCTAACTTCACTATTCTAGTTTTACCCTCATCAAGAATTATCTATGTCTTGCAGTCCTAAGTGGCAGATATCGATGTTTTTAGATTTCTCGTTTCGACTGCAAGTGTAGAGAGATGCCAAGGTAAATGATACGATCCTCCATATAACTCAATCTATAAATGGATGTAAGGTTATTTCCATCTAAAAAAAACCGCTTTAGCCTTTTACTGATTCACTTCAGCATCCTATATACATAGATATAAAGCTGAGTTTGGATACTATGCATTTGTAAAGATAAGTCCGGAGCCCTCTTTCCGAAAGGTCCCCCGCTTTCTCTTCCCTACTTGCAGAAGGAAAGGGCTTTTCATGCTTCAATGGATGCCTCAGTAGTTTATGGTCTGGATCTCCCGGATGCACCGAAAGCCCTCGACGTCCCAAAGTCCAATACAGGGCCCAGAAATCGTCCCAGCGATGAGTCGGAGACAAGTTATACAGACGCTTTTAAAACATACCTCCATCAATGGGTCGAGTGGGATAATAAAGTTATTGATCATTTTGAAGCACGGTGTGGCATCTATGCGATCAGGGCTAGCGAGACTCAGTGGCATTTGAGCGGTGACGGTCGTAGAGAGTATTTTACTTGCTGGCTACAGGACTTCGATGTACTGAGAACTTGGTATAATGCACATAAGGTGCACGGGCAAAGGGTTGCAGAGTATAAAGAGCATCTGGCACGAATGAGTCTCGGAGAATCTGAAGGCCGTAAATAGTCCATCGAATTAATTTCTCGAAACTTTCGTAGGGCATATTCACAGCTGCCATACATTCAAGTCTTACATCTCCGTGTTAGAGATATCTACTTCATCGAGCCGGGATGTCACTCTTGCGGTTTCCTTGTACCTCTTTAAGTAGCTTCCGGACTGATATAACACAACACCGATTGGCTTATCCGTGTGTTCTCCTGTTTTTGTAGTGTCTCTTATATCCTTTCCTCTATTCGTCATGATTTCCAATTGTGCCTGGGTAACTTCTTCTCAGACCGTCGATAGGCTGAGGGGTCCTGGGCGCATTTTTCCTTTCCTCGAAACTGATGAAATGGAATAAAAACCATGCGTAGAAGGGATTATTTTGATGGCGCGACATGATTGGAAAACGCGTTCCACATTGCATACCCGGGGTTACCGCTAATTCCCCCGCCATTTGAGAGTAGACTT